AAAAAAAACACATTTCGACTCAGTCACTGTCAAAAAGACTGGACCGAAACAAGGGAATGAGGTGAGGTGTTGCATTGCTCAATTTCACCGTTAGAGGTCACCAAATCCCGCACATTCAAATCCTACTGCACTGAACAAGGATTTTGTGTTGTGTGTGACTTTGAAGAAAAGTATAAGCATTTATTAGACGAGGTTAAATAATTAAAATAGTGCTTAATTAACAGGAGGTGTAAAAACTGTAAAACAAAGAAGAAGAAGAAGAGGAAGAAGAAGAGGAAGAAGAAGAAGATGTTGCTGTGACAGTGGAGGAGTCAGGAGGAATCACATGCTGTCCTGTTTTTAATAACATTACACATTTCACTTTAACACTCCGCCTCATGTTCTGCTGTCATGAACGTCATGTGACCTTGTTTGTGTCTGAGGGTGAGTTCAAAGAGCTGGAGGACATTCACCAAAGGAGAACTTATTTTATATATTATACATACAAATTACCAAAGGAGAAATTATATTATATATCATACATACAAAATATATATTATATATTATATATGTATATTATTTCTATCTATATTATTATATATTACCACTATCTCAGCCCCCCACAGCAGACATGTTTTGTCAAATTTACCTCCAGAAACTTTTAAGATTTCAAATTAGAGTTGATCATCTTTGGTGCTGGACCTGAATTATTTTCTACAGGTTTGTAAAGTTAACACCGGCCTAAAACTTTTCCTCTTTTACTATATTGTACTGTGAGAGGCTGCAGGTTGTGCAGATGTAGATATGAACTTTATGAACCTGTGAATCAACACGTGGCCTGCTACCAGAGCCTGGTTCACCGGCGGCGGTTTTGTCCCCATCACTCTGTCACTACAGTGAAATGTTCCTGCTGCGTGCTTTGAAGTGACAGTGTCATGAGTTCCTGTTTGTTTACAGTGTGTTCTACCTCCAGGAGAGCAGACGACTTCATGGAGCTGGACGCCAACATGGACACCACGGACAGGCAGTCTGGGAGCTCCTTCAGGTAGGAGACGTAAAAGTCCAGGAAGTCACTCTGTGGGACACGCACACACACACAGAGTGATGCTTTTAAAACAACAGTGAGAAAAACATCGACTACATGAACATTTGAATTCATTGACAGAACTATGTGTACAGTCCTGGTCTTTTTTCTTTCTTTTCTTTTTTAAAGCAACAGTAACAAACTAATAAGACTTGGTTTTGATCAGTTTTTTTCCAGTGCAATCAACCAAGAAATGATCATTTAAACGAAAAGAAAAAAAAATTCATTCGGTGAAAAATACGATTTCACATTGTCGAATTAATTTGTCACCTCTTTGCTGGTGAGCCTCATAAACACATCTCCCATGATGCCTTGCCACTGGCACTTGAGCACACGCTCCTGGAGAGTGTGGAGGAGTTCCAGGTGCTGCTGGATGAGGAACCGGACGGAACTGGGGAACGGACTGAAGACACGGAGACAGAGACAGAGACAGAGACAATATGAGTGGGTGACCAAAAATGGTTGATAAGTGATGCTTTAAATATTGTGAAAAAATAAGTTAAGGGCCAAAAATAAATCTGCTTCTGTGCCACATTACATCCCCAGACCAGACTTTGAACAGTGCTGCTGTCCATCATGTTTCTTTTTTTTTTTATATCAAATTCTTTGGTTTGTTTCTATCTGTTTTGTTGTTGTTATAATGAATTGATGATCATTCCTGGACCTGTTCATGTAACAGCTGTAGTTTCCCGACAGCCTCTGTGTGATGTCATGTGACAGACAACAGGTAAATGCAGTTAAAACAGATCAGTGATTGATAATAAATACCATTTGACTCTGTTTAACTCCACCAGGAGTTCTTTAAAAAGATTATATTCTCTCTCTCCTCCACTGGTGTTTATCACCTGCCACTATTGGATTTGTTCATTTCCTGTTCTCTCCTTTTCCACAAGTTCACAAATTAGATCAGTGTTTCAGCTCAGACGTCAGTTTGTGTGAAAACACCAAAAGGTGGAGGAAAGAGAAGAAGAAGTCAGAGAGAAAAGGAACCCAGAAATCTACACCAAAAATAACAATTTAAAAATGTAGACACACGTCAGCAAGTATGTCCTGTTTTGTCTCCTAATTTTGCTTGACTACAGCCGGTACTTTAACCTGTTTTTCTAATTAAATTATTACAGATAAGATAGCATGAAAAAAAAAACATATAAAATCACGCTTTTGATTACAGATAAGATAGCATGAAAAAAAACAAAACATATAAAATCAAGCTTTTCTCAGTTCCCTAGCTTCAAGCACATTGATCAGAATGATGCACAAACTCCAGCCCACTAGGTGGCAGAGTGGCTCAGTAGCTCAGTACCAAGTCCTGGTCTTGAACTGACCGTTTGTCCTTGGACACCAGGGCGTCTGACCCGTTGAAGGAGATGTTGGCCTTCAGCAGCAGAGACAGGTGAGAGACGTAAACTCTCTCTGACTCCAGCAGCTCCAGAGCAGCCGTCTGTCTCCTGCCTGAGAACACACACACACACACACACACACACACACACTGAATGTCTCTGTCTGAAAACTGGACAATTCTGTTTCTACCTTTGACTTAAACGTCCTGTGAGGAGCCTGCTGACTGCTGCAATGAGAAGTCTGACCAATAGGTGTCACTAATTCTCACTCTGAAGTATGAAGTGGTGTGTTTACTGTTTTCAGGTTGACCGGCGAAGGTTTCGGCGTCGCCCCCACTGCTCCTCTCCCCCCAGGACGGAGACGCCGAGTGACACGCTCTCTGCTGAGGCTGAGCCTCCTGCTCCGAAGCTGCAACACCAAACACACAGACTTGTCCTCATCCACAACAAAAACACACACACACATAGCTACACCAGTAAGACACACACACACACACACACACTCAGGGACTGACTCTGTGTGGACGTGTTGCTCGTCTGTGGTGAAGATCCATTTTGTGTAAAGCTGGAGAAAAAGTGCCGAATGACGCCAAGCTCTGATTGGTTGGATGAGAAGATGTTTTCATCCTCTGATGCTGAACAAAGGTCTGCCCCGGAGTTCTTTCTACTGATGAACCAACCATCAAAGACAAAAAAAAAAAATCCAAAAATTATTTTAAAACTTTATATTTATACTGGTTTGAAGAGTTTTTAGTAATGTTTGACACAGGCACCCATATGTGAACAAAACAAGTATTTTTTCGGGATCTTACGGATACAAAGAAATCAACCATAATTAATCTGAATGTGTTTGTACCTATTTGGAACAGAGATGGCGCTGTTGCCGTTTTCTGACAGCTGCTGCTGCTGGATCCTGTTGTGAATGTCTCTCTGTCGACAGGAAACGTCCCTGATGTGGAACAGAGCCACGCTGAGCTCCTCCTGTCAATCAAACAAACAAAAACAAGACGCAGCTTCAGTGTAAAACAGTTCTCTAATTACTGCCACAATGATTCGTGTGTGAATCATTGTGTACAGCCCATGTGTGTATTTTCTCCAGCACCTTGAACGTGTTCAGCGAGTTCTTCAGGCTGATGATCTTCTCGTCTACGTCAGTCTGATGGGCCTGCAGCTTCTCCTCCAGGCTGTGGTCCCTGTGACGCAGCTCACACAGCTCTGTCAGGGCCGTGTGGAGCCCCTCGCGCAGCTCAGCCACCAGGCCCTGCAGCTGCACCAGAAAAACAGTGTGTGTCATTTTCAGCCTGTTCAGAGCTTAAAATAAAAACAAGTTCTGTCTCATCGTTAGATCAAAGACCGACAAAGGTCAGAGTTCATCAGAAAGATTTCAAAACCATAAACATGACATAGAGTCAGTTCTTCTATTTAACCTCAGGACTGAGGATTTTATGGTGACATTTCTTTTACATAATTCAGGACAGAAATGAATCTGTCTGACAAAGTCCTCTGGAAACAACTTTGTTTCTTTTTATGGCAGTTGTTTCTGTTTCTAGAGTTCTTTCTTCTTTTATATCAGTTTTTTTCTTTGTTATTGTTGCAGTAAAATTTCATGTACTGAAAAAGACAAATTCCATCCTTTGTCCTGTCTTTGGGTCCATGAGTTTCTTCTGCAGTTTTACTGTTCAATTCTTTATGTTTCTGAACAACTGAAATCCTATTTCTTCTTCTATTTTCTTGTCTTTTTTTATCTTATCTTCTTCAGGTCCTTCTTCTTTGGTTTCTTTTTATGGCAGTTGTTTCTGTTGTCTGTCTTGTTGTCATGAGTCTTGTTCATTTTCCACTTAGTGTTTTTTTTCCTTCTCCACCATCACTTTTTCAATAATTCTAAATTCGTAGTTTTCCACACACTATCAGTATGAACACACGTGCCTAAATTTCTTCAGTATTTATCATCAAATAAATGTGTTAATTATGAAATATTAGCAGACATTTTCCTCTCAGCCCGTGGCTGTCACTCAGTTACAGCTTATTTAATTCTTTCTCTGAGGATAAGTGAATCAGAGTAACGTGTCTTCAGCTGTTGCTCAGTTACGTCTCTCTCTCGATCTTCAGTCATGTGAAAAGCATCAGGCAGACACAGACACACTGAATGGACCATCTGTCCGTTTGCCTCCTGCTCTTCCTACCACTTGATGTCGTGATTAGATGGTGACTGTGAAACTGAACATCGGTTGAGTTCAGGGCAGCGAACCAACACCAACGTGTCCATTTCCTCCTCCGTGTTAACGCGTGTGAAGGTCAGGTGAATGACACAGGGATCAGAGTGAATGACGCTGCTCCTCACCTGCGTCATCTCCAGGTTCGGTTGGAACTCCTCCACGGTTTCTTCTTTATCTAAATACAAAGCAAAGAAAATTAAACTTTTACTAATGACTAGTGTTTTATTCTGATGATTTCTAGGAAAAGAAAAAAAGAAAAACCTACGACACAATGACCCAAAGATGTTGTCAACACAAATGTATTTGAGTGTAATCAAAACCACAGCAGCAAAATCATAAATATTTGAATATTATTGTAGTGTATTACAACGCTACAAACTTAAAACGTAGTGCTAATAGCCAGCTAAATGCTAAAATAGCCAAATATTGGTTTTAAATAGCTAAAGGTTTTATTTTGGACCCACAAATGTCAACGAGAAAACAAATGTATGAAAAAAAAGTAACAGAAATCGTTTTTAATTAAAAGTTTATACAAGGTTGTAGCAGTACCCAGGACTACAGTCCCCAGGACTACCGATTCTCTTAGCAGGCGTGCTAACTGCTAAACTAACAGTAGAAGAAGAAAAATTAAATTGCGATGTATCGCAACTGGAGGTAACGCTGACTAACTTTAAGCTAACGGTTAAATTTAAAACAGCTGAGCTAACATTAATTGACCTAAC